ATCTGGAAGGGAGCATGAACATCATCTCCCACAGGGTCTGGGGGAGAGGGTGGGTGAACTGGCATCTCCCTCCACCTTATTCTGTGGCTGGCCAAGCCTTCCCTGACCCTGAAAGGACTCTCTGGGCCCCATCTCCTAGGGAGGAGGGCAGCAGGCAGACTAATGTGATTGGCTGGCTGGGAAGCTAGGGTACTGGGGCCCCTGACTGCTGTGAGTCGGGGAACTGGATTCCTCTTCCTGTCAAGCAGCTCTCACGGATGGGAGGCCTGAGTTGGGAATCCGGGAGGCCCCACAGCTCTTTGTGAGGAATCTAGTAGTTTCCAGAGCCAGGGAGCAAGATGTTTTTGAGGGACTGAGGCAAGGAGGTGGAAGACTTCCTCTCTGAGAGGAGATTAGGGTGGTCTACACGAGTGTGTGTGAGGGCAGTTTTTCAGAATAGGCAAGTCCTTCTCCTCCAGACCCGCGCTCTGAGTGGCCTGCGGTCAGAGTTGTGAGGGACCTCCAAGAACTCCAGCAGTCTAAACCCTTGCACAGCAGAAGCTGAGGCCCAAGAAAGGAGGGGAAAATTCCTACTGCACTGCACGCACCAGAACGCCTTAAAGCCGGGGATGAAATGTATTCTGCCAGCCATGATGTTCTAGAAGTATGGCTGTGATTCGCATGTTGTCTGGATATGGGGGAGGGTGATCACCTTCCCTCAGTGAGGAGCCCCCACACTCTGGCTGCCTCTTGTTCCTTTGAAGACTGGATGCGATTGGTTACCAGGGCAAGCCTCTGTACCTTACTTCTGACTCTAGCCCAGGCTTTGTCTGTAGGGTCCTCTAAGAAGCCTGGGGCTGACACCTAGGTCGGGAGACAAAGAGAGGGACAGCTGTTGCTGGGGTCCTGGAAGAGGTTGGGTGGGGCTGACATTGCTACCTCATTGAGGAGTCAAACCCATGAGTTCCTTCCTGAGATAAAACAATGAAGAAATCCTCATGTGTGCAACTCGGAAATGCAACTCAGGCCCGGACTGGGAACCCCAGACAAATGAGCTGGGGTTAGTGCTCCCAGCCTCCTTCTAAGACCTCTCATTGGCTGTGTAGGCTTGGGCTGGTTCCTCAGGGATCATCTGGATTCATCCTGTTTGGCTTGGCCTCCCTGTCTTAAGACAGGACCCACCCCTGATGTCCCACAAAAGGGGTGTGGGTGGGGTTGGGTAACCTCCCTCTGAGGAACCTCAGGAGTGTTTCATGCTGGTTCTGTCTCTTTAAGAGGCCTGGCTGAGATGCAGGGCTGGGGAGGAACAGGCTAGGGATGATGCCCTCTCAAGTTCTTCCCATTTACCGCCTGCTTCAACTCAGGCTGGTGTCAAGTTCCTGGAGGACTAAGGGATGTCAGTCATCCTGGCACCCAGTAAGGCTCAAGTAAATGCCCCTAGCTCCTGCCTGCCCTCAGTGCCAACCCCTGCAGCCAGAAGCAGAACTGTGAACTTTCTACTGTGTTCTCATGCCAGCCACTGACTCCTTGCTTATTCCCCCATCCCCAGGAATGGGAAGTGCTCGTCCTGGGGAAGCTCAAGTGGGACCTTGCTGCTGTCATCGCACATGACTTCCTGGCTCTGATTCTGCACCGACTTTCTCTGCCCAGCGACCGACAGGCCTTGGTCAAAAAGCATGCCCAGACCTTTCTGGCCCTCTGCGCTACAGGTAAGGGCCTTGGACACATGTTTAGTCTGGGACAATCAGGATTTGAAGGATAAGTAGTAACCAGGAGATTATTTCAATACTCAGAGCTATTTATATAGGATCTTGGCAATCCTGGGATGGAGGTGAGGCACTGTATAGTGACTTGCCTAAGGTCTCCATGTCAGGGTTTTGGGCATTCTCTGCTAAGGTAGATGGAACTGTTCACTCAAGGTAGGGTGAGGTATAGCGGTTCAATGACAGAGTGCATGTCTCAGTCAATTGCCGGCACCATGCACACACCCCAAACCCTCCCCTTGGCCCTGCCATCAGCCCACCCACTTCTGGGGGTTCCCAGTATGCTGTATTCATGCAGCCTGGCATGTTGTAACAAGGAGTAAAAGTATAAGATGGCTCTTCTCACGGTTCCCTCTCTTTTACAAGATTACACCTTTGCAATGTATCCTCCATCCATGATCGCCACGGGCAGTATTGGGGCTGCAGTGCTAGGCCTAGGTGCCTGCTCTATGTCTGCAGATGAGCTCACAGAATTGCTGGCAGGAATCACAGGCACCGAAGTGGTAAGTCTCAGGTCCCATTCACAAAAAGCTGTGCTATCCCTTGAATCCCCAGAAGAGGGCGGCATTCACACCCCTCACCCCCAAACTCCAATTATACACTCTTGCCTGCTTCAGTGGCCTTTATCTCTGCCTCTGGAGAGGACGGGGTGGGGTGAAGGACACTGCATGTAGCTGCCCCTCTCTTGCCAAGTGGTATGCTGCGGCCTGGGGTGGGGGACTTGGTGTCAGATGCAGGGCTGCTCTCACACCCTTGCCACATCCTCTTGCCAGTTTCTGAGAACTAAAGAGCTGATTCCTGGGCTGGGCTGTGGCCTAACCTCCCCAGACTTCCCGGTGTGCAGGGGGGTGGCCTTTCCCTCCACCGGGCTGCTCTCAGTGCCGTGGGGAAGAGTCCCATCTGCTGACCATGTTCTTCTTCCTAGGACTGCCTACGGGCCTGTCAGGAGCAGATCGAAGCTGCGCTCCGGGAGAGCCTCAGGGAAGCTGCCCAGACAGCGCCCAGTCCAGTGCCCAAAGCTCCCCGGGGCTCTAGCAGCCAGGGATCCAGTCAGACCAGCACTCCCACAGATGTCACTGCCATCCACCTGTAGCTTGGGACAGCCCCTTCAGGTGGCCACCAAGCAGAGGAGGGGCCACTGCCACACCCTCCCTTCCTCTAGAACAATCCATGCCATATCTGAAGAGGGGGACCCTTCTTCCTCTCACAAAGCCCAAGGGGCCAGGTCCTGCCTATCCCCACAGTGTGCACTAAGGTGCTGGCTGGCCGTGAGGGCTCTGCATGGCCAGTCAGCTCCTCCTCCCCCCAACCTGACCACCTTGGCTCTTCTGGGCCATTGCTGGTCAGAGAAATTCAAACAGGTAAAACTCATGCACCAGCATTCCCTTCAGAGTCCCTCCTCTCTGGGGTTCTAATCTTCTCAATTGCCAAAATGCCCCAATTCCTTCCAAAGGTGTTGCCCCTCCCAGGCTCAGTGCATTTGGATTTGCGTCCTTCAGGCATCCCGACAGACATGCACGAAGAACCAGATAAATGGCTGCCGAGTTATCCATGCTCCCAGCTGCTCTTAGAGGAAACAGCCTAGGCCTTGGTCAGAGGGGCAAGAACCTACAAATTCTTGCTTTGCTTCCTGCTTAGCTTCTGTGATTGAGGGGTCTTGAGGGGTGCTGATGGTCATTTTAATTTATTGCTTTGAGTACAACTGTAAGAGGGTACAGTGAGGCCTGTACCCCACAAGTGATGGTAACCCTGGCGGTTGCTGTTTCCCTCCCCTCTGCTACTGCTTTGTGGTCCAGGAGCTGCTATAGCCTGGGATGGGGCCGTGCCTTCCTCTCCTGAGGCTCTTTCCGTACCTCATCTTCCATCTGAGGGTTTAAGCAGGGATGGATGCTCTGGAGGTGACGGGGCCTATCTGGAGAGGGCAAACCCTATTGACACAGGTCTTTCCTTAGGCCACAAGGTTTGGGCTGGTGGCCCATTTCTATCATGCTGCCTTAATAAAGATTCCGGAATAAACCTGGCTTTTGCAGTCACTGGGATTGTGTAGAGGTGGGAGGCATGAGTCAGGCATCTCAGGAAGGGAGTGCTTAGGCAATATGGCCCTCTTTATCTAAATTACAGTGTAAGGAGTGGCCACCATACCCCAGAGGGCTCATGTGAAAATAGGGCTGGACAGTTTTATGTAAAAATTCTGTTGTGCTCCCACACAGTGGGATTCCTGTAATCTTTGGTAGAGAAAGAAGTTCTAGGGTAACCTGTGCTACATGGCAAAATTCTGTTCTAAAATGCATCTGGGAATTGGAGCAGTGGCTCAGCAGCTGAGAGCACTGGCTAATCCTGAGAATCTGGATTTGACCACAGCTGTCTCTAGCACCAGTCCTGCAGGCACGATGCTCATATACATTAAAAAGTAACTGATGAGGGCTGGAAAGATAACTCAGAGGTTAAGAGCACTGGCTGCTCTCCCAGAGGCCCTAATTCCCAGCAACCACAAGGTGGCTCACAACCATATATGGTGGGATTTGGTGCCCTCTTCTGATGTGTAGACATATATGAAAGAACATTATATACATAAGTAAATCTTAAAACAAAAGCTGATGATTGGGGTACGGGTGCGTCTGGAAACACTTCCCCAGTACTGCAGAGACATAAACTGGACTCTTAACAGGTGCACTTTTTTTGGGAGCAAAAGCGGACTAGTAGGATGATTGGAGTCCGTCGTGGTGCCAAATGGGGGGACGTGGATGTACCCCCACCCCAATTTTTTTTTTTTTTGAGATAGGGTTTCACTGTATAGCTAGTCCTGACTAGCCTCAAACTTAGAGATCTATGCTTGGCTGCACACAAATTTCTCCAAGCCATTAAAAGCTATGAAGATTGTTCTTTGCTCATCATCTATACAAATAGGCATTTGACCCTGGTTTGTCAACCACCTAAAGCTCAGAAAGCAAGGAAGAAACTGCTGGACCTTTTGACTCTGCTGCTGTCTGCTGGAGAAAGGGCCTGCTCCTGCAGTCTTCACTGACAGCAATGGCTGTCACTTTTCCAATGGTGTCCCCAAAGGAGCCCATGAATGTCATGTCAGTGGTCGGCGGGGCACACACACACACACAGACAATTGTGAAGAATAAGGGGCAGGGTGAGGGTTCTGTGGAAACTAAGAACCCACTCCTCGGAACTGGAAAAAGCTACGAGTGACTCTCACCTCTAGTTACGGGGGAGGCAGGAACCTCCAGGAACTGTACCAAAACACAGCGCTCCAATAAATATCTGCCTTTGCTTTATCTGCACCCCAGTGAGCTGACACAGTAACTAGAGAGAGCAAGTGCCAGCTGGCTTGTGGGAGCACTAAGCTGGGGTAACTCCTGTTAGCTCCCAGAAGTGAGCAGGGACCAAAGCCTACAATGGCAGAGAAAGCCAACCAGATTCAGTCTTCCTGCCCAGGGCTAGAGCCACATATGCCATCGTAACCCTTCAGTGCCCTGACCTAGGTCTTTACATCCTGGGTTACCAGCTAGGGTCTTGGCGTCCTCCCATGCCCCCTGGACTGTTCTCATTCCATGGTGACGGGAACATCTTCCACATCTCTGGGGACTGCACTCTGAAGCTCACGTCTGATTTCAGGAGACAACTGTGGGTGGGGCTGCAGGCGAAGCAGTTCTAGGAGGGCCTCCTTCTGGTCTGTGGCCAAGTCAGCCTTGTAGCGTTGTGCCAGTGTCAGAAGGCACTGGTGCCAGAGCACAGGCAGCTGGCGCTTCTCTGTCCGGAAACCCAGAAAATGGAAGACCAGGGCATCCAGCACACGGTAGGGCAATGCGTACTTCTTATCCAGCAGTAGGCGCAGGAAGATGCTGTTGGCCCCGCTGTACTCCATCTCAGCAATCTTCAGCATGGCCGCACTAGGAGGGAAGGTGGAGTTATGGGCCACGGAGAAAAGTCTCCCCAGACTGAGCCTTACCTACAGCGTGTCTAAGGTGTTGCCGTAGGCTCCTCACCTACTTACGACTCCACTCCAGGATTTGCTTGCTCATCTCTCCACCCACACCTCTGCATCTGGCTTGGATAGCAAGCAATCCCTGTATTCAATCACAGCGTATGTCTGAATGTCTCACCACCCCCACCTTTTATCACATGTTCTTCCTGGTGTCCATTCATTTATGCAATCATTCAACTATTTACTGAACCTACTATGCACCAGGTCCTAGGACCCTGCTCTTGAAGACCTCTTCTACTAGAGTAATCATACCCCCACTGGGTTAAAAAGCCAGTCTCGCCAAGTCCTGGTCTCTCTATTACATGCTCTCCACACTGGCCAGTCTCTTCCACCTCACCAACATTACCTGGAGTGCAACACAGGGATGGAGCACTTAGTGATGATGCTGCCCATGATGATGGCTTCTCGGAGGGTACAAGTGCCAGACTCGCACAGTGGGATCAGGATTCCTAGGCAGAGTCATGGAATCCTGCGGTAAGGGAAACGAAGCAGTACCCAACCACCCCGAATCTAAGAATGGAATACAACCATTTGCCAAGCAGGACCTCTGACCCCTCATTTCTCCCCAGCTTCTGGGTCTTTAACCTTTGAACCAGGCTCCAGGCTTGAAGAGGGCCTTCTTGAGGGCCATGTAGAGGTGAAAGTTGAGTCGCTTGTATTCAGCAATGTCGTCTCGTACTCGGGGAAGCAGGACAAGGTTGTAGAAGCGCTGAGCCATGCGTTCTTTCAGGTTAGAGGCAAAAATTCTAGCAGGGTGAGAGTTTCCAAGTCACAAGACAGTCTGGCCCTGGCCCTTTAAATATCACTGTGGATGGTGCACACAAGAGGTTTTATAGTAAGATATGGGGACATCATTTGAGAGAGTTGTATATGGGAGCTCTGTGCAGACCACATTCCGGTCAGCAATATAGGATGACCCCCAGAGAGAGCATGCGCTGTCTCCCTGGTGTTGTTTTATTTGTTATTTTACGTGTGTGGGTATTTTGCCAGCATTATGTCTGTGCACCATATATGTGCCTGGTTCCCATGGACACCAGATGAAAAATCGAATTTCCTGAAGCAACCATGTGGGTGCTGGAATTGAACCCAGGTTTTCTAACCCACTGAGTCACCTGTCCAGACCCTAATATTTTCTTACAAGGACTGGTGCTTGAACCCATGGAGTTCTGTGCATTATTTAAGCGAGGCACCTCAAACTACTTCCGTAGGTAGACCAGTTTTTGCTGGCTACTCAGCTACTTTCTCTCCTTTCCCCATCATGAAGGACCTGATATCACTGGAGAATCAGAAATCTCAAGCTATTTTCCCACACCAGGACCATAGCCTGGAAGCTATCTAAGCCCTTCTCATGGAAGTGTACCACAGGACTTTGTCCTATAAATGCAAGATGAAAAGTTATGAGAACAATGAGGGGGGGAGGGATGGGCTGGCCCATGGCATGGCTAAGGAAGGCAGAGCCTGCACACCCACACCCTGTCCCATAGGGCAGTCACCCTAGCCCATCTCTACCTGGTGGCTTGATACATGGCAGCTGCAGTCCAGGCCTCAGGCTCAGTGACATAGAGTATTTGCTCCCAGTTGGACAGCGCAGGGATGATCTTAAAAGCCTTGGGCAGTTTCCCACTGCGGTACTTAGATAATACCTGGGGATGACGGAGGCAAAGTCATCAGCACCCATGCTTGTGGTCCTGGCCCCGTCACTGTGTTCTCATGCGCTGCCTCACCTCACCTTCAGAACAACCCAAAACCGCTCATTTTTCAGGGGACCAGAGTTTAGTGACTTCTAGGTAAGAGGCAGCGCAAGAACCCGAGCCTCAATTCTGGCTCAGTTAGGTGCCATGTGTGAGAACCCTCCTGTTAGGATACTCCACCACACATGCCCTTGTAACCCTTACCTCCCGGACCCCTCTGTAGACCTCCAGGACTCGGGGGTCCAGCTGAGGCATGGGCAGGCCCAACACCTCTGACATGACAGTCTCCACCTCTGTCTGCTTCTCAGTCAGCTTCTCCATGATGATGTCAGCCAGAGTGCGCCTGTGGAGACAGGGGAGGGACAAAGAAGTAGATCACTTTCAGGAAGTTTTAAAGTCCCCTCACCCTCTCATGGAAGGGCGGGAGGGAGAGAGAAATACACAAGTCATCCAGACGTGGTGGCACAAGTCTTTAATCCCAACACTTGGGAGACAGGCCAGTACGGTGGCCTTCATAGGGAATTTCAGGTCAGCCAGGACTACACAGTGAAATCCTATCTCAAAGGGAAAAAGGAGAGCCACAAAAACAGTCCCAAAACGAAACAGGAATGCTTCACAAACTTGCATCTCATCCTTGCACAGGGGCCACGCCAGTCTCTTATTGTTTCAGTTTTAGCATAAGTGCTGCTAGAAGCAAGCAACTTACAATTCCCCTGGATGCTGACAACCTGCGATCCCGCTGGGACACGCAGCCTCAACCCCCTGTACGTCCACCTGGCCACTACAGACTGCAGAGAGCAAAGGACCGGAACGCCACCGCGTTTAGGGCAAAGCTGGCAGTGCTGTGCAGGTTAGGTCCTTGCAGTCTGAAGCCAGCCTGCCCAGGTGTCACTCTTCTGCCCCTGTATGACCTTGGGCCTGTCACTTTACTCCTTTATGCCCGGTCTCCTAGCTGTGAAGTGGTGAGAGTAATAGCAAAACCTTGTCCAGTCAGCTAAGGGGTGAAATCAGAGACTGCATGGGCACCACTCACAACTACCAGTCTAGAATCAGTGTGTATCACAGGCTGCCTACTTCAAACACACCCATCACTGCTGGCAGAATGAGGAGCACTATCAGAGTACAAACTGGAGCTCTGGCCTCGTGGGTGTGACACGCATCTCTATCTAGGCATCTTCATTCACTAAGGAGGCTACCACAGCAACCTCTTCCTTTCATCATAGAAACCAGTCCTTAAGTCAATGGCCCCCTTCTCAGCCTCTTTCAATTACCTTGAAAACTTTACTGTTATTGTTGTGTGTGCTCATGTGAAGTCAGAAGACTACTCTGTGGTGTCGAGTTTGCTGGCACCCTTAAAGTAAGCTGCGGGGACTGAACTTAGGGACCAGGCTTGTGTAGCAAGCATGTGTCGCCCACTGAGCCATCTTGCCACCTCCCCATTTCAGCCTCTTTAAACAGAAACTATCAAATGAGGATTCAAAATTACCATGGCCTGGGGATGGAAAGACAGCTCAGAGGTTACGAGCACTTACTGCTCTTGCAGGGGACCTGGGTTCAGTTCCCATCACCTATACAGTGGCGGTGATTCCTGTTCTCATTCTTCTGACCTTCATGGACACCAGGAATGCACATGATGTACATACATTCATTGGATAATAAATAAAGAAACTGCCTTGGCATAGTTGATAGGACAGAACTTAGGTAGATGGAGTAGACAGAATTGAATGCTGGGAAGAAGGGCAGAGTGGCAGACACCGTGGATCTCCTGCCTGAGACAGACAATGGTTAGAATCTTGCCGGTAAGCCACAGTCACGTGGCAATACACAGATTAAAATGGAGATGGGTTAAACTAATATGTAAGAGTTAGCCAATAAGAAGTTAGAGCTAATGGGCCAGGCAGTGTTTAAATGAATACAGTTTCTGTGTGATTATTTGGTTGTAAGTCAGCCAGGCGGCCGGGAGGGAACAAAGGGCCACCCTCCTCGTGTAACAATAAAGTAAAATGAAGAAATCAAAAAATAATTACCACCATAGTAGGTTACAGTCTGCTGAGGGAATCTTCAGAAGCCACTGATGTGTATTTAAAATTGCCCCTCAGTGATTAGCATGCAGGAGACCCTGGATTCTAGTCTCCTGCACGGCAGAAAAGTCAAGCAACAGTGTTCAGACCTTCCAGATTTGCAGGACACTAGTGGGAGGCACTTTTTTCTTTTCTTTTTTTTTTTTTAAATTTTGTGATTTATTTATCTTTTATTTTATGTGCATTGGTGTGAAGGTGTCAGGTCCCCTGGAACTGGATTTTCAGACAGTTGTGAGCTGCCATGTGGTTGCTGGAAATTGAACTCAGGACCTCCGGAAGAGTAGTCAGTGCTCTTAACCTCTGAGCCATCTCTCCAGCCCCTCTTTTTGTTTTTTTGAGACAGGATTTCTCTGGGTTGCCCTGGCTGAAGATGCCTCTGCCGGGTGCTGGGATTAAAGGTGTGAGCCACCACTGTGGCTGATGGGAGGTGCTTTTTATTCCAGACATAGACGTAGGACTTGAGATTCTGAGGTTAACAACCCACCTAGGGCCTTAAGGCTTTATTAGGGAATGGGTGAGATTTCAGTCTTTCAACCTCTAGTTTGGGTGCTTCAAAGTGTCTCCAATGTGCCCTAGATTACACGGCCTGATGGCGCTTCACAGTGCTTTTCCCTAATAAAGATTTCAATCTTTCAACCGCTAGATAGTTTGGGTGCTTCACAGTGCCCAGAGCAGGCAGGTGGGATCCAAATGCCAAAGTTGAGACTGAAAGCCCCCAATTAAAGGACGTCTAAGATCTGAGAACAATACACCAAAAACAAACACAGTGGAATGGACTCCAGATATTAAAAGGAACTGGGTAATCCAGGAAGTTCTACATCAGATGGACAAAAGGGCAGATATTTGGAGTCTGAGTCATGCCCATTCAGAAGGTTGACAATGCTCAAACCAAAAGCTGGCCAGGATATTTACTAGCCTGCGGGAACTTTCTGCCAGGATCCACTGTACCAACACTTAAAACAGCCCTACCTGATGGGAGGGTTCTTGTTCATGAACATTTCAATGGCACGTTCATCTTCGGGGTCCACAACCACCTCTGCTTGGTGGTCCACCCCGGTCATTTTGGCTGCCTTCTCCAGGGTGGGCCACTCCTCATCCTCATCCTCAGATCCATCCTGTGGCACTCCCGGCCCTAAAGAGGAAGGTAAAATGGTAAGCAAGGAGAGCATGGGCTTCTGAGTCAGTTCACTGCATGCCCGGGTGCTGGAGACACACGTGTGCAAAAGGAAGGAGCACAGAGTTACCAACTATCTTTCTGTTTTCTGAGACTTGGGGTGGGGGGAGGTTGAGACAGGATTTCTGTGTAGCTTTGGAGCCTCTCTTGGCACTCACTCTATAGACCAGGCTGGCCTCGAGCTCACAGGGACCCACCTGCCTCTGTCTCCCAAGAGCTGGGACTAAGGGCGTGCACCACCACTGCCTGGCAAAACTTGAAATCTTGAGAGATAAAATACAACACATGAAACAGAATAATGCCAGTAATCTAGAAGGATCTACACACATGTAACCTGGTTAGTCAGATAACCCCAAGAAAAAGACACTATTGTTGGGCAGTGGTGATGCACATCTTTAATCCCAGCATTTGGGAGGCAGAAGCAGAGGTAGGTGGATCTCTGTGAGTTCTAGGACAGCCTGGTCTACAGAATGAGTTCCAGGAAAGCAGCAAGGGCTACACAGAGAAACCTTGTCTTGAAAAACCAAAAAGTCGGCACTATCACTTCAAACTAAGATAGAAAAGTTGATGTGCCCAGGGCAGGCGAGTGGGATCCTGACTGCGCCTTCTTCTCCGCTAGCCGTTTGCACAGTAGAGCTGAATCCTGTGCTAATAATTAGTACAGAGGGCGATGAGGCTTTGGATGGGCAATGTGAGAGCAACAGTGTCTTATATCCTAGAAAAGGACTTTAATATTATTAGAATGTTGGGCATTAAAGAATCAGAGCCAGAAATAGGACTATAGGGCCAGAAAGGAAAGGTACAGCCAACCTGGAAGGCCCCAAGGCTAGGCAGTGATATTCAGTCTCTAATCAAGGGCTACACATAAGTTACTGACTTGGACCCCCAGCCCCAAATCATGACATGACACTTATCATTAACTATGAATGCTCGGCCTCAGCTTTAGGCTTGTTTCTATCTAGCTTTTTTTTTTTTTTAAACCAAAATTAACCCATTTCTATTAATCTACGTGCTGCCCCGAGGCTCCTTCACCTCATCTACAAGCTGTTCAACCTGCTTTCCTGCCTCCTGGCTGGCTGGCAGGTCCATGCTGGGCTGGCCTTTTTTCTCTCTGCACCCCAGACCACCCTATACCTCTCCTGCCTAGCTACAGGTTATTCAGCTTTTTATCAGACCTATCAGGTACCTTAGGCCAGCAAGGCCAAACTGCAATACGTCTTTACATAGTTAAATAAATTCAATACATTTTTAGATAGTTAAGCAATTATTCTGCAACACAAACAAAAGTAACACATCTTTACACAGTTAAACAAATATTCTATTCTGCAATACTCACTCATACACTCAAGGATGACCTGGAATTCCTGATTCTCCTGTCTCTACCTCCCAAGTATTATATCTATTTATCTGCCTCTGCTTCCTGAGGATTTATAGTTATGTGCCAACACACCTGGCTTACTTTTGAAACACCACATACAGCTGGCAAAGCACCTGGAAAAGAGTCTAACAAACCAAAGGAGTTGAAATGCCAGACAACAATAGGTCATTTGCAACAGAACTGGACTAAGGGCATACATAGCGCAGGAGAGTATGCATAACACGTCCAGTGAGAACTGTTTTAATTTTGTTTTAGATTTATATATATTATTTTATGTGTATGCTGTTCATCACAAGTGAGCCTGGTGCCCAAAGAGGTCAGAAGAGGGCACATGATCCCGTGGAATTGGAGATACAGATAGCTGTGGTCTGTCATGTGAATACTGGGAACCAAACTCCGGTCTTCTGCAAGAACAAGTGTTACCACCCCCCTTTTTTTGAGACAGGGTTTCTCTGTGTAGCTCCAGCTGACTGGAACTCACTATGTATTCCAGGTTGGTCTCAAACTTGGAGATCTGTCTGCCTCTGCCTCCCAAGTGCTGGGATTAAAGGTGTGCATCACCACTGCCCAGCTACGAACAAGCGTTCTTAAGATCTGAGGACCAAATTATTCAATAGAGTTTTCCTCTGCTCTCTACACATGCTATGGCACGCACATGCACACAAAATAAAAGAATGTTAAAAAACAGAAGAAGGCAAGTGTTATAAAACGAACAGGGCAGAAATGGATGTCGACATCTGTGGGGTAGGCATTTTAGTTCTGTATGCATGTGCACTCTTGCATCACGTGTGCAGCAGAGGTGAATCTTCAGTGTTACTCCTCAGCATCTGATGACCTTGTTTTTTTGTGACAGGGTTTGGCTGGGACCTGGGATGAGCTGATTTGGCTTCAGCCTAGAAGCTCTGGGACCACAAACTGCTTCCTGTTTTCAAAGCACATATTTTACCAAGTGAATTATCTCATCACCTCCATAGTTTGTGTTCAGAGCAACAGCAGAGGTGGGTCGAGCAGGGTGCTGTTGATCTCTAGCTGTTGAATGGACTACAGAGGTTACAGAACACAATTATGATGCTACCACAGTAATTAAGTGGAGAGACTGTGGTTCTTTAAACAGGAAAATGTTCAGAGTTAATGGAAAGTGATCCAGTTCTGGATATATTCTGAAGATAAAGGCATCAGGGTTTACTGACTAATCAGATGTAGAATGAGGAGGAGGAGCCAAGATTCTGCTTTGAGCCCGGGAAGGCTAATGTGCTAACAGATTCCATGGAGCAAGCGGAGAGATGTCAGGCAGACAGCTGGATATAAGTAAAAATGTTTGTTTACTGGAAGAGCAATGTCTGGGAGAAAAAGCTGGGAGTAGTTATCAAATAGATGGCTTCAAACCGGAATTTGCTGGCAGCAACACAGAGGACCAAAAGCTCAGGCCTGCCTTGGTCACAGAGCATGTTCAAATTCAGCATGAGCAAATTAAGGAAACAAAGTATAATAAGTAAAAAGACAATTTTTAAGGGCAGGTGTAGTACCACCACTTAGAACCAGAGGCAAAATCAGTAGTTCAAGGTCATCCTCATCTACACATCCTGGGCATGAGACCCTACCTCATTTAACACCTAAAAGAAAACAGGTAAAGCTACTATGGCCCTAAAGCCATATTCAATTATCTCAATACTGCTTTCAGGACAAAAAAAAAGGAAAACTAAGCAACTGGAGATCAACAACAGTTCCTTCCCAATGAGACAAGTATCAAGCACTTTTCACTCATCTCTGAGGCCCTCGCGCTTCTAAAGCACACTTTTGTCTTCCTCTGTTACTGGAACATTTCCCATTTGCTTTCCAGATCTTAGTTAAAAAGGCACGAAACCTGGGATACCTGCCCTGAAGAATTAATAGCGGTTTTGTTTTGAATAGGAATATATTCATTTTGTTTCAATCTCTTGAGGGACAGGGTTATACCATGTAGCTCAGGCTGATCTGGAATTTACTATGTAGTCCAAGAGGGGCTTCTGCCTTAGCTTCTCGAATGCTGGGATTACAGGCGAGCACCGCCGCTCCTGGCTGGAATATATTACTCTAATTATCTACTTTATGTTCTCTGCTTTGGGATAGACTTCTGATGCTTACAGCAGGGACGAGTATCTTGTTTATTTTGGTATTAGAACTGCCTAACTCTTACCACAGTTAAAAGCACTAACGCAGGTAGCCCACAAATACTTCAAAAGCCCAGAGAATAAATATTAGAACTTGGTGTGCGCGGTCACTTCCTCTGAGGTTCCGGAAGCCAGAGGTGGAAGTGGAGGACCACGCGGGAAAGAAAAGCTGCCTCTTCTTTTTAATTCCAACCCAGTATCCGGAACGACTGTGGTAACCCGGCTCAACCCACCACTCCACCTCTCGTCACTCACCCAGCCGCGTGGAGCGCTCTCGCGGTTTTGCAGGCTGGTCTCCAGTGCCGTGTTCGGTCTCGAGTTCCTCCTGCTGCTGCCGGGCTTGCTGCAAGATCCGTCTACTCAACCGGGGTCCCACATACTCTTCCTCCTCTTCGACCCCGCGTCCTCGCCGTTTGTCTCGGGTTCCTGCGCGCACTGCATTCCCAGCCAGAATCTGCTCGGCCAGAGGTGCATGCTTCTCCTGATTCCCGGCCCCACGGGCCGCCTTGACTTTGGGCATTTTTCTCGAAAAATTTGCCCACAAGGTTTACACGTGGGGAACCGGCTTTAAAGCTAAGACTGCGCTTGCGCGCTGAATTCCGGTGGCCAAGAGATTACTGAGAGATCACAGCGCCTCCCAGCGTTCGGAGGCCGGAAGTTCCTCATATACCGCCATGTCTCGACGAGCTCCGGGACTTGGAGCTGGACTCCCCAAATTCTCAGGTAATTTCATTGTCTGGAAGAGGTGGAAGTCCGAGTCACCTTTTCCAGAACTCATGTAGGCTAAGGTATCCTGTCAAACCAAAGCGCGCGTTGGGGGCGGAGCCGGGTCGATGACGTAAAGTGTCACCGCTGGAGCGCTCGGACACGCCCCTTTCCTGTGGGCGCGCCGCCCTGGCGCGCAGTATTTGCGTATTTCCGGAGCCCAATGTGCGACCGCGTCCTGCCTTAGGTGGCTTCTCCTCTTGTGGTCCTCAGAATTCTCAGTTCGGGTGTTTGGAAGTGCCTCCTTTTTGACCCTACGCCATGGGAGTGACTTGGTAGGACTGCAAGGGCTTCTGTGGGGCGGAGCTTCGGGTCGTGAAGGCGCCTGTAAGCCTGTCGTGGCCCCGGGAGGGAGATCGGGATCGAATTTCTCGGGTCCTCGCTGGCTGACAAAGATGTCCTCAGGTCGTGTGGAGCAAGGGACACCGTGTGGTGCTTCTTCTTTCCCAGACGTATCCCTTTTGGCAAAGAGAGTGCTTCGTCCCGAGAGCCTGCCAGGAGTTGTGCCTTATTTTTCTTGGCACTTCTTCCTGTCCGTGAGGGCATAGTACTGTTGGGAGTAGAACCCAAAAGTTGCATACAGGGTTTTGGATTAGGAATTGTTTGCAGGCAGGGATAAAAAACGGCGCGAGGAGAAAATGCATTTTACATTTTGCTTGCAATTATAGCAGCCTGGCTTTAATTTGGACACTTTAAGATATTGGGTCTAGCGTCAGGAGGAGGGGAAAAGGAGCTTTGGGGATTTGGAGATCGGAGTTCAGGGCCATTAACTATTCAGGAATCACTTCCTAAATGTTTGAGTTAGCTTTGATTATTGACTTTTTATCTTAAATGTGTTTTAAATCTCACTTGGAAAAAGAGAGGTGGTTGGTAACGCCTGGACACTGCTTTTCTTTCTTTTTTTTTATTTTTGGTTTTTCGAGACAGGGTTCCTCTGTAGCTTTGGAGCCTGTCCTGGAACTAGCTCTTCTAGACCAGGGCGACCTCGAATTCACAGAGCTCTGCCTGCTTCTGTCTCCTGAGTGCTGGACACTGGGCACTAATTAATACTAGGTCTCAGCACTTAAAAAAATCTTGGCAGTGGTGTGCACCTTCCCAATTAGAGAGGCCTGGAGGCCAGGGTACGTGAAGTGAGGAGCAGCAGGGTTGTGCTGTGAAAGTTACCTGTGGGAAGTTCTTCAGATAGCCCAGGCTCTTGCATGCTTTTTAGTGACTATATATGCCCACAGTTGATGCCTGAAGCCTTATCTCAACCTCATCACACTGTAAATAGTGCCTGTCTACAATGAACATAGAAATCTCAGCCGACTCACTGAGCCCTAGAATCCCACCATGCTTTATCTTTATGTTTAATGGGCCATATAGGCCAGGCTGCTCTGTAGCTTCTGATTATTTGCCTCTGACTGCTGCATCCTGGGATTACAGGAGTGTGCCACCAATGCCTGCCCACCTTGGGTTCATTGTACAGAGAAGGGAGTCCCTGGGAAAAAGGTTCCCTGCCTACTAGTATCACCTCAGCTTTCTCAGGATCCCAGAATTTCTGTCACAGGGTCACTTTAGCAAGTCTCTTCTGTTTCATATATTCCTTACTGGTGCTTTTTTCATAAAGAGATAAGTTTTTAGTAACAGTAGGGTTCTCCCTTAATAGATTTATCTGATCGATTGGAAAGGAAGACAGGGTTTTTAAAACATAGTAGTTTGGGGAAAATTTTGATTTTATGAACAGTTAATACCATCTGTGTCATTGTTCATGTTCATAGGTCTCAACCAAGTGTGTGCCTGTAATTCCAGTACATAGGTGAGCAGCAGCAGGATTGCTAAAAGTGGGAGGTTAGCGGGGCTAATGTAGTGAATTTCAGATCAGCAATGGCTGCAATGTGAGTTCGCAGTCTCCAGCAGTCTCTTTAAAAATATTTTAGCAGATTGCTACCTTGCCAGTCATTGTGACTCATGTCTTTAATCCCAGTATTCAGGTAGCAGAGGAAGGTAGATTTCTGAGTTAAAGACCAGCTTGAACTTGGTCTACAAATCGAATTCCAGGACAGCTGGGGTACACAAAGCAACCCTGTCCCGGGAAACCAAATAGATAAATAAATAAAATTTAATGAGTATTAGTAGATCATGACATCACTAGAGGCAGTGTAGGAGAGTGGGAGGCAGAGGTAGGTGGATCTCTGTGAGTTTGAGGGCAGCCTGGTCTTTGAAGCGAGTTCAATGACAGTTGGGTTACACAGAGACACCCTATCTCAAAAAAAAAAAAAGGAAGAAAGAAAGAAAGAAAGAAAGGAAAACCAAAACCAAATCAAACAAAACAAAACACTCACAGATGCAGAGCCCAGTTGCAGGACTTTGAATCTCATCTATACTATCCATTAACTGTACGACCTTGTGCAGACTGTTTAGCCTTTATAGTGCAGTTTCTCCAGTTGCAGTAAGTTGATGTAGGACAGAACCTTTCCGGGGGGGCCATTGGAAGATCAGTCACTCCATCTGAAGGGCCACACCTTTGATCCCAGCACGTGGGAGGCAGATTTCTGCGAATTGGAGGCCAGCCTGGTCTACATAGTGAGTTCCAGGACAGCCAGAGCTACATAGTGAGACCCTGTCTCCAAAAAGAAAAGAAAGAATAAAAATCATCTGAAGGCTCACAGGTCTTACACATAGCTGGTGCTTGACAATAATTGCCTACCACTCCATGGGGAAGCCACCATAAGGTGGAAACCTGGAAAATAGTTGCAGTTCTTGAAAAAACTGTTGGGTATCTTTTTCTAGACTTAACTCTTGGGGGCTGCTTCTCACTTTTAGTGCTGGTAAATGTAACTCTGTGGTAGTTCTGTCCACAGTGTCCAGAACAGTAGCCGCCAGCCTCCTGTGGGTTAGGACCTGACAAAAGCAACTTGTGACAGAGTTTATTTTGACTCACTGTTTGAGCCAAAAGAATATGAGGTGGCTAGTTACATTGTGTCTGTAGTCGGGGGTGGGGGGTGGGGGTGGGGGATGTCCTGCTCAGCTCTTTTTTCCACATCTCAGTTAAATACAGACTCTCATAGACGTGGTCGGGAGTTTAAGAAATAGATCAGAGTTAGTGTTGTCTAACGTAGCTCCTAGCCCTGTTGAACTGTGACCTGTCTGGAAATGAGTGACTGAGCCAGAGCCCATATGTCTCTGGACGTTGCTGACTTGTTCTGTTTTTCAGTGTGTCCCAGATGCCTGTGGCTGAGGGCAAGAGCGTCCAGCAGACGGTGGAGCTCCTCACCAGGAAATTGGAGATGCTTGGGGCAGAGAAACAAGGGACATTTTGTGTGGACTGTGAGACTTACCACACAGCTGCCTCTACCCTGGGCAGCCAAGGTCAGTAGATGGCTGTGAGCAGATGGTGGACCGTCCACACACATTGATATTTATTGGCATCTATTTGCGGTGCTCAGATTGCAGTTTGAACCTACTTGTTTGTTTAGTTAAAATTTTGTTTTTATTTTTAGGTGTGTGTGCGCGCGCGCGTGGCTGCTTGAGAGCATGTGCACTCGTGCTCCTGCGTGTGCATATTTACACATGAATGCAGGTGCCTGCAGAGGCTAGTGCTGTCGGATTCCTTAGAGTTAGAGTTACAGGTGGTTATGAGCCACCTGATACGGGTACTGGGGACTGAACTTGGATTCAAGGCCATCTTGGGCTAGAGAATGAGAACCTTTCTTGGGAAACAAAAGTTGTCTACAACAACCAGAAGTACTTTCTTCACTAAAGAATAGGGTTGGGGCTGAGGTGATGGCTCATTAGTTGAGAGCACTGGCGGTTACTCTAGAGAACCCAGGTTTGATTCCTGGCATCCACATGACAGCTCACAGTCATTTAAACTCCAGTTCTAGGGGATCCGATGCCCAGTGCCTTCTATGGGCGTCTGATGTAAGTGGTGCACTGACATACATGAAAGCAAAAACCGTTGTATACATAAAATATTGCAGAACAGCGTCCCAAGAGCTGATGCTATAGTGGTAGAGCACATGCCAAGCATGTGTATAAAGCCCTGGTTTCCATCCCCAACAGTCCCCCTTGCTACTCAAAGTCCTTAGTTGATTTTTAAAAGTTCAAGGCAGTGCAGCTTCATGTAGTATGAATCAGATATGTGTAGCTTTTTTTCGGAACCCGTCCTGGAACTAGCTCTTACAGACCAGGCTGGCCTTGAACTCACAGAGATCTACCTGCCTCTGCCTCCCAAGTGCTGGGATTGGAGGCGTGGCGCCGCCACTGCCCGGCTGTAGCATGATTAATAAAAACCCAGAGACAGATATTGGGGTTCAACCTGAAGGTCAGAAAAGCAAAACAGCCAGCCACTGACTTTTACCTCTAACTCTGTCTGAAGTGACGATCCTGCCTCCAGAAATATCAGAGTGAGACTGTTTCTGAGAGCTGTCTCCTTCTGTTTTATATTCCTCTCTAGTAGTGGGATTAAAGGCGTACACCACTACTGCCTGTTTCTATGGCAAACTAGTCTGACTACTGGGACTAAAGGTGTGTGTCACCATTGCCTGGTCTGTCAGGCTGACCAGTGGGGCTGTTTCACTCTCTGGTCTTCAGGCATGCTTTATTTAACATCACTGTAACAGTATGTAAACCTGAGAACAGAATAAGATCAATTTTGAGTGGCTCTGAGGGATGACATGCTATTAACTGGATTTGTTTTTGTTTTTCAAGACAAGGCTTTAACTGGATTGTAAAAGAGTTGGAAGGTGTGAATTGGCAATACCGACAGAAGGGATGGGTGCTGGAGATTCAGTGCAGAGCCTGCTAAATTCAGCAGGGGGCAGCAGAGAGGCCAGTGAAGTACAGGGAAGGCCCTGAACTCCCCTACTCCCACCATCTTTCCCTCTTTCCATTACTTACTTTTTAAACAAAATCTTGGTTTTACTTTATTTATCTTATGTTTTTAAACAGGGTCTCACTATGTAGCTCTGGCTGTTCTGGAACTCACTGCGTAGACCAGGGTGGACTTAAAATTAGAGATTTGCTTGCTCTGCCTCCCAAGTGCTGAGATTAAAGAAGTACACCATATACCTAGCTTTATTTTATTTTATTTATGTAGATGGGTGCTCATGGAGACCAGAAGGGAGCATTGGATGGATCCCTTGGAGCTGAAGTTGCAGGCACTTGTGGATAGCCCAGTTGGGATCTGAACTCTAGCCCTCTGACAGAACAGTAAAGGATCAGAACCACTGAGCCATCTTGATAGCTTCTTGTTACACTCTTATCTCTGCTAGAATTCCATCTTTTCTGCCCTGTGAGTGGAAATCCTTCCACATCCTCCTTCAAGTCCTCTTTTTCCTTTGATCTTTTCTTATGCTGACATCTTAGATTTCTGGTCCCTTTCAAGTAATCACTCTTTTTAAAATTTTCCTTTATATTAGTGAATTAGTTAGGTCTTTTGGGATTAGGTTTTCTGTGGCTCAAGCTAGCTGTGGCATTGCTTTGTAGCTGATGCCTTTGTGTTTCTGCTCCTCCTGCTTCTGCATCTCTAGTGCTAGGATCGCCAATGCACATCACCACATTCAGTTTATGTGGTGCTGAGATTAGAATCCAGGTCTTCACGCATACACACTAGGCAAGGACTATCATTACCAGATCCTTTTTGTTTGTTTGTTTGTTTAGTTAGTGTTTGTGTGTGCGTGTGCATGTGCATATGCACACATATGTGTGCATGGTTGTGTTTTGCCATGGCATGTGTATGAAGTTCAGAAACAGCTTTCTGACTCTTACCATGTGGATCCCAGGGATCAGACTCAATTTATCAGGCCCAGAAGCAGGCACCTTTACCTGCTGACCCATCGCTAGCCCTTGTGTGTGTGTGTGTGTGTGTGTGTGTGTGTGTGTGTGTATGGTTTTTGTGTTTTGTTTTGTTTTGGTGTATGTGGGTGTAAGAGCTTGTGCAGGCCCACACCTGTGAAGGCTAGAGAAGGGCGTTGGATGTGGGATGGTTTCTTCTGTCACTGCCTGAATACCTGGAGACAGGACCCCTCACCATGGATAACTAACTGGCCAGTGGATCTCAGGATCCACCTCTCTCTGCTCCCAATGCTGGGATAATAGGCATGTGCAACCTTGCAGGTTTTTTACCTGGGTGCTGGGGATTAGCATTTAGGCCCTCACTAAGCTATCTTCCGAACTCCCGTTTTTAAAAGTAGATCTTTGCATCTATTTATATTTTTATTTCATGCGTCTGTACATGCACCCTAACAAGGAAATAAAAGTCAGGACAACATGCAGACATTGGTACTCTCTTATCATCATATGGGCCCCAGAGATCTTGTTGTCAGTCTTGACAGCAAGAGCTTTAACCTACTGAGGTATCTTCCCGGCCCTGTTTATCTTTTTCCGACAGGGTCTTGCTGTGTAGCCCAGCCTGATCTGAAACTTGAGGCAATTGTACTGCCTAAGGCTCTTGAGTACCCATGAACTACCATATAGCGTTTATTTAGAGACTAGCTCTCCTTTCGTGGCTCTCCCCACCCCAGTTTCAACCTTCCCAGTGCTAGGATTACAGGCTTGAGTCACTTTTGTTTTCTGTTGTTGGCTCCTGACCTTTTTTTTTTTTTTTTAAATAGTCTTGTTTTTTGTTTGTTTTTGCTAGGGGCAGATTGTAGCAGGTAAAGGTGCTTGCTACTGAGTCCGACACTCATGTTTTATCCCCAGAACTACATGGTAGAAGGAGAGAAAAGACTCTCCCAAGTACCCTCCTCTCAATCATACACATCCAGTGACCCATGGGTGCCCATGCCCCACAATGTAAATTAAAAATAAAAGACTTCGGGGGTGGCTAGGGAGATGGCTTCATTGGTAAGCTTCTTGCCTTGTAAGCATGAGAGTTTGAGTTTGAATGCTTAGAACTCACTTTAAAAGTTGGATGCAAGCCAGGTATGGTGGTACATACCTTTAATCTCATTCGAGGCTATCTTAGAAAACAAAAAAATCCCAGAACTGGGGAGGGAGAGGCAAGAGGACGATCCAAGGTTTGCTGGCCTGATAGTCTTGCTCTAGGTTCAGTGAGAGGCCCTAACTCAAAAAATAAGATGGTAGCCCCATACTCGTGTACATATAGATAGCACTAATTGGACTTAGTGCATTCTTTTTTTTTAAATATATATTTATTTATTATGTATACAATATTCTGTCTGCGTGTATGCCTTCAGGTCAGAAGAGGGCACCAGACCTCATTACAGATGGTTGTGAGCCACCATGTGGTTGCTGGGAATTGAACTCAGGACCTTTGGAAGAGCAGGCAATGCCCTTAACTGCTGAGCCATCTCTCCAGCCCGACTTAGTGCATTCTTAAGGAGAAAATAGGGAAGGACATGAAAAAGGAGGAGCAGCAGAGTTTCAAGATGGATGCTTTTAAATGTATAGCAGGTATTTCAGATTGTGGGCCTCTGTTCTCTCTTGTAGTATATTTTGGTTTTAGTGTTTTACTTCTTCCAAGTCCTATATAACCAAATATATTCATAACTCTCCCTCCTTGGAGAAAGTCTGTAGAAGACCAGGTAAGAAAGCTCAGCAGGTATAGGCACATGAGGCCAAGTCTAATGACCTGAGTTTGATCCTCAGGACACATAGGATGAAAATGGGTAATTGGTATCCTAGGGTGGTCCTTTAACCTCCACTTGAGTGCTATGATTTGCGCACATACAGTGGCACACATAAATAAATGTCTGGGGGTGGGGAAAAGAGTTTAGAGCAGGGTGGTGGCGCACGCCTCCAATCCCAGCACTGGGAGGCAGAGGCAGGGGAATCTCTGAGTTCGAGGCCAGCCTGGTCTATGTAGAGTTTCAGACTTTCTAGAGACACGTCTTTGAAGAGAAAGCATCTAGAAAACCAGTAGAATCAGCGAGTGGGCTGAGGCTGTTCAGTGGAGAGCACTAGCCTAGCATGTACAAGACTCTGGGATCTGTGTCTAGCAGCACAAAATGAGCAACAAGAAAATCAAGCCAGCTTTGGTGGTACACTCTCATAATTCCATCATTAGGGAGTTAGTCACATTCCAGACCTTCCTGAGTTATGTAGCAAGACCATGTTTTAAACAACCAAACCAAGATGAGTGGAGGTGGCACATCCCAGCAGTTTTGAGGCAGAGGCAGGGGAATCTCTGAGTTCAAGGCCAGCCTGGTCTACAGAGCTAGTTCCAATAGTTCCAGGATAGCCAAGGCCACACAGAAAAACCCTGTCTCAAAAAACAACAATAACGGGGGGGAGGGGGGGATGGAGAGATGGCACAGCCATTAAGAGTGCTGCTCTTCCAGAGCACCCAGCACCTACTTGGCAGCTCACACTTGTGACTCCAGTTTCAGGGCTTCTGACACCCTCATACTTATAGGCAAAACACCAATAAACATAAAATAAAAATAAATTTAAAAAAAGAATGACGAGAAAACACCAAACCAAAGCCAACCAACTAAAAAACAGTAACAATGAGAAAACTCATTTGTTAGATTGGAAGGGGCTTCAGAGTCCAGCTTGAGCTCCTCTGTGGTGTGCTTGCTTTCCTAGTTGTCTCCACTGACGTTTGCAAACATTGCCCTCACTTTCAGGAGGCACCGCTGGCTTTGTAAGGCAGCTCAGCCTGACTGAAGTTCACAGTCACCCTATTCCAAAGCCTCTGTGAGAGCATTTAGATGTCAGATGAGGCACGAGCTGAGGTCCAGAGAGGTATGCCAGATGTTGCTGCTTCTGTTTTACTTTTAAGTTTGAGCTTCTGGGGCTGGAGGTTAAGGCTAGGCCAGTACCTATTGCCAAGCCACACCACCAGTCCTTAGGTTTTTGTTTTTGGGTTTTGTTTTGTTTTGTTTTGTTTTTAATTTGAGACAAGGTTTCTCTGTAGCTTTGGAGTCTGTCCTGGAACTAGCTCTTGTAGACCAGGCTGGCCTTCTCTGCCTCCTAACTGCTGGGATTAAAGGCATGCGCCACCAACGCCCATCTTCAATCCTTAGTTTTACTTATTACAGATGAGAACATAGAAGAGAGTTTCTGTATGGTTTACTAATCATGATAAAGTAACCATCTGCAAGCTCACCACCCAGCTGCTCTCAGCACTCTGAGAGTCCCCTGGTGTTCTTCAGGTGTATTTAGCCCCTGTTATCTGGCCGGCTTTTCCAGTTACCTGGTTTCTCTGGAAAAGGTAGCATTTAAGGATCCTTTCCCTTTTCAGACTGCCAGGGTACCAACTACCAGCTGGCCTTGTTTGGTGCACTTGACCTGTCCTGGGATTTGTTGATAAAAGTCCTGATCATGAGTGGGCCATCTGTCCCTTGCAGGCCAGGCCGGGAAGCTGATGTACGTGATGCATAACTCTGAGTACCCCCTGAGCTGCTTTGCCCTCTTTGAGAATGGCCCTTGCCTTAGTGCTGACACCAACTTCGATGTGCTCATGGTGAAGCTCAAGGGCTTTTTCCAGAGTGCTAAGGCCAGCAAGATTGAGACCCGGGGTACTCGCTACCAATATTGTGACTTCCTGGTGAAGGTGGGCACCGTCACAATGGGGCCCAGTGCCCGTGGCATCTCTGTGGAGGTAAGACCTTGGTGAAGGGCAAACAGAATATGCTGTGGCTGCACAGTAAGGGCTCTGGAAGTTTTCCAAGCCCTACGTAGTTCAGATGGACTCTTTAGTATCTCTCCTGCCTCTATTACAGGGATCTTTTGTTTGGGGCATGGGGGGGGGCAGATTTATGTCTCAGGCTTTGAACTTACTATGTAGCCAAGGATGATAAATTTATGATCCTCCTGCTTCTACCCCCAATCCCTGAGATTCCATGATATACTACTACAGCAGCTTTTTTCTTATGGTATTTATTTATTTATTTAAGGCAGTCTCATTTGGCTTGAACTCTAATTCTTGTGCCTTTACCTCCTGAGTGGTGGGATTGCAAGTATATTTCGCCATGCTTGGTTTGTGTAGGTGCAATACTGGCCTTTGTGCTCCTGAAAGAGAGAGAGAGAGAGAGAGAGAGAGAGAGAGAGAGACTTAGTCTATAGTTTAGCCTGGTCTTGAACTCATGCAATCCTTTTATCTCAGCCTACAAAGTACTGGGATTAGAGGAGTGAGCCACCATTCTTGTTTCTCTAAGGATTTTTTAGATTTGTTTTTTATTTTTTGTGTGTGGGTATTTCGCTTGTGTGTGTGTCTGTGCACCACATATGTGTAGTGCCCACGGAGACCAGAAGAGAGCATCTGATTGTTGCCCTGGAGTTGGAGTCAAAGACTTAAAGTTGCCAGGCACCATGTGGGTGCTGGGAACCAACCCCAGTCCCAAGAGCAACAAACAAGTGATCTGAACTGCTGAGCCATCTCCCTAGCATCTTGCTAGGCTTCTTTTTTATCTTTTCTTTAGCCATTCAATCTCTAGCCTAGACTTGAAGTGGATTTACGTCTAGTAAAAAGCTTCGAGAGGCTCTCCTGCTGGAAAACTGAAGGCAGAATCAAGGAAAGCAGAGGAATAAGGATATGGATAGGCACCAACCACCTTTCCCAAGAAGAGCTGGAACAGACAGTTTTCTGAGGGGTGTTTGGGGGTGGGATGTCAGCCACATGCCTGTATACCCCTCCTTAGGATGTTTTATGAGAGGTCTCCAGAGCTGTGGAACAAAACTGTCCCTTTTGGCACCTGTCAGTTTTCATAGTGGACAAGAATATGCATATGAAATGCCTTCATCTAGGTTTTTATTTTAAAACAAATGACTACATTTGTTTATTGTGGATGTAGTGTACATATGCACAGCATGTGTGTGGAGATCAGAGCAATCAGTTCTTTCTTTCTACCATGCAGGTCCTGGGGATTGAACTCAGGTTATCAGCATCTTTATTGTCTGATTGCCTTCATCTTTGAACCTAAGTATATCGGTATTGAAAGTGGCATATGGAGAGTATAGTGAAGGTTCACAGCCCCTCATGTGTCCGGCATTAACTGAGATTTAAAAAACAAAACAAGACAGAAGCTTGTAGGCCTATCTTTTGAAATGTATCATTTAGTAGGCAAGCAAAGCTGGAACACACTTTTTTGAAGCTAGTTAAGAAATACCAGCTGGGCAATGGTGGCTCATGTCTTTAATCTCAGCACTCAGAAACCCTGTCTCTGAAAAGCCAAAAAAGAAAAACAAGAAAGAAATATCCTGAAAGGTATTTGGCTCAGGGACTGAGGCTGTTGGATGCCGGTAGTTGTGCCATTCCTGTAGAGCAGTATAGAGAATAAGGGACCCTGAGCACATAGAGGCCAGCTTGGCTGCATAGCTAGTTCAAGGCCAACATGAGTTGCACAGTTAGATCCTGTCACAAAAATAAAAACCAGAGGGAACTGAGTCTGGGGAGTGTCCCAGTAGAAAAGAGGACCCTAGTGGCAGTTTCTTTTCAGGACCCTCCAGGGCCAAGATTCTTTAGTCTTGTCAATTTGTGACTTTCAGCGGTGACAGTGGCAGGAGGAGGGAGAGAAGCAAGCCTCATCCTTGTCCTTACCCTTGCTGTCTGTTCTTCTGTCCCAGGTGGAGTATGGCCCTTGTGTGGTGGCTAGTGATTGCTGGAGCCTCCTGCTTGAGTTCCTACAGAGTTTTCTAGGTAGCCACACACCAGGGGCCCCCACAGTATTTGGGAACAGACACGATGCTGTGTATGGACCAGCAGATACCATGGTACAGTACATGGAACTCTTCAACAAGATCCGAAAACAGCAGCAAGTGCCAGTGGCTGGGATCCGTTAGTGACTGACAGCTGTCTACCTGCTGAGCTGTCACCTGGGTACTGCCCAGGAGGAGCAGGGTCCTAAGCCTCTGGCCTCAGCTGGTTTCCAGCTGTAGCTTGAGTTCTGGGTCTCTGAACTCCCCTCCTGACCCCATCACAGCTGGTTTTTACTTCATCCCTTAACTGGATTTGGCTTGTCCTCAACAATGGTAATTGTGAAGGATGGAAAAACTTGGGCCTTTCTGCTGTGGGGTAAAGGTAGGACAGGGTTGTTCTTGCCAGCCCTGAAGGTGAAACTAGTATTTGTCCCCAGATCCTGAGGGTTTGGTATCGGCCACACTGCTGTTTGTGGCTGTGCTGGATGGAATCCCCGCTCTCCCCTTTTGCTTGATGACATGGCTGGCCTCTCCTGGAGATGGATGGGTGGCATGACTGGATTGCTCTTGCTTTCTGACCTGTTGGCTGCAGTGATTTGAGAACAGAACTGAGTCTGCTCAAGTTGATTTCATCCTTTGAACTATTTACAGTTTCCCTTTCTGTTTTGAATAGTGTGACCCTATAGGCTAAGTTGGTGTAGCAAAACCAAAGCACGGGGCTCTTACTGCACATTTTTTTCTTACCTAATAGCTCAGAGGCAGTCAGTTCCACAGGGCAGAAGTAACTCTAGGATTAGCACAATTAGGCTTCTTATGACTTATTGTTTGGTCACTGCAATACTGGTTTGCTTACCACAGGATCTAAGTACACTCATTAGCTCCATATTCATTTCTAGAAGAGAGAGAGAGAGAGAGAGAGAGAGAGAGAGAGAGAGGAGAGAGAGGAGAGAAGGGTGGTTTTCTTCCAGCATTGCTCAGATCTCTACAGACATGCTTTCCTGACACTCAGCACTGCTTTGTTTAGGGTCATCTGTTGTGCTTCACAAGTTGTCTTCTTGTCACACTCGAATGTGCCTTGAAATTATTGAAATTATTGACACTGTTGCTCACCTCCCTCTTACCTGCTACAGAAACAGTTAACCAGGCTAGTAGCTGAGATACAGTAGATAGGCTTGGCAAAATTGCTAATATACAAAGTGTAGAGTGTCCTTGAGGAGTCTGTGCTCAGAGGACAGCTAAGCAGACTTTCCAGAACATGTTTCGGCAGCAGCTGTGAGGCACTGTTCATGTGTGCCCTAGCATTGACTGGCAGGGAAGCTCAGCATCCCTTCCTGGCTGTAGGATCTGTTATCCACATCGGTTACTGTTACTTCTTGCTTTTGTTGTTAATGTTTGTTATTTTTGCACTTTAAAAAATGAGTGTGTTTTAGATATCACAATAAAATCTACAAATATTACGTTTGGCCTTTTGTTTGGTCTTGTTGCAGTGTATCTACTTTGTACTTTATATAGGTTGCTTCAAATACTTTGTGGATGACACAATGTGCAGGCAGAATTTTGAATGTACGTGCTAGTGAAAACACAGATGTTAAATGCGGTAAACATGGACTCTTGGCTCCTACATAAGAAGGGGCTCAGTTTCTAAAAGATAAAGAGAAGTGTACCCAGTCAACATCTTCATTTTGGTGGGTTTTTGTTTGTTTTTTTTTTAAGATTTTGTTTTTAATGTGTGTGTGTGTGTGTGTATGTGTATGTGTGTATGCACACACAGTACCATGGGGGGCCAGAAGAAGGCATCAGATTTCCTGGATATGATGTTAGAGGCAAATTTAGGAGCTGGGAATTGAGTCAGGTTTTCTGTAAGACCGGTAGGCACGCTCAACTACTAGGCTGTCCATTTGGTTCTTTTCCATTTGTGCTCACATTTGACTGGCTTTAAAACTAGTTACATGAGCTCAAGCTTGAAGAATGGCCAGCCACACAGGTACTTTGCTTCGTCCTTGTCAATTAATGGAAGCACAACACTGAAGCAGTCTGGCTAAGCAAGCACCTGATAACGGAGCCGGTGATGGCTCTGCTGGCAGAAACACTGGAACTGAACTATGTATGACTGCTGGGAAAGCCTGTATGTCACCTGGCTTTCATGTGCAAGTCTGGATGGGGCTTCTTAGAATACTGTAAGACACAGTTGTCATCACATTCTTGAAGGTTCAAGTTGCAATAACGTTAGGATTATTTGTATAAATTTAAGGGAAAAGGACACGATTATCATCATTTTATATATACTTGAATCTGGGACTACTGATTTGGCCGGGATGGTTGGCTAGCTGCTGAGATTGCACATGTATTCCTTTTCACTTGCTTGTTAGCTGGGTTCTGGGGATTGAACTTGGGTTCTCAAGTGCCATGCAAGCACTTTACTGACAGATTTTCTTGCATTCCATTTCATTTTCCAACATAGCCATCCCAGGTCCTATTATATAGCACAGTCTAACTTAAAATATGTAAAAAATTGTGGAGTGTGTGTGTGTGTTTGAGAGAGAAAGAGAGAAAGAGAAAGCGAGTGTGTGCATTTAGGTGCAGTGCCTGAGGAAGCCAGAAGAGGGCATTGGATCCCCTGGAGCTAGAGTTATATGCAGTTGTGAGCCTCTTGACATGGATACTGGGAATTGCACTGGATTCTTCTTCAAGAGAAGTATACACTCTTAATCCCTGAGCCATTTCTCTATCTGTACATTGGCCCATTTTTAAGGGTAATATAAATTATTCTGAACTTTCTTTAGAGTCCATTAAACAGAGAATTTAGCCCAGCACAACTTTAATCCCAGTACTCAGGAGGCAGAGACAGGAGGAACTCTGTGAGTTTGAGACTAGTCTGGTCTACATAGTGAGCTCCAGGACAGCCAGGACTACACAGACACTGTCTTAAAAAAACAAAAATAAATAAGATACCTGCAAGATGGCTTGGCAGGTAAAGGCATTTGCCACCAAAGAGAACCAACTCTGTAAACATGCTGACTTTCACAGGTGCAGGTGCTGTATGCCATGTGTGTACTTGCCACTAACATATGCACACACTCGTGCACACATACACACACGCACGCACGCACGCACACACTAAATACTTAAAAAGGAAAATTTGGAGGGTACATTTATGTTGTCCAGGTTGTCCTGGAGCTGAATTTAACAGTGGGGATCTGTGTAGGAAAGGCAAGGCTCGGGTTGTGACAGATGTGCTGGGCTGCCAGTTAAAGGGATGAGAATGCTGGTTTAGGAAGACAGCTGGCTGGAGCTAGCTGTAGTACTAGGCTTAACATAATCACATTTGCTCTTTGGGTTGTAGCTGTATAGCGGGATTGTAGAGATTTTGAAAAGGAAATAAATATGTGCTTTGTGAACACAAAGGTACTGTCTCTGGATTCTCTTTTCTTTGTTAATTTTATGTTTTGTCTGCATATATGTGTGTACACCACATGCATGCCTGGTTTGCAAAGGGACCAGAAGAGGGCAGAGTTACAGATGGTTGTGAGCACCATTGTGGTGCTAGAATCAAAGCCCAGTCCTCTGCAAGAGCAGTCAGTGCTCTTAACCACTGAGCCATCTTCCCAGCCTGTCTCTGGATCGTTTTAATAGTTCTGATGTTGATGATGGATTAGGATGTTTATGATGGAAAGTTAGACTGATGTGGGATTCCTCTCTGTATACTATGAATGTTTTATTACCGTTGGTTAATAAAGAAGCTACTTTGGCACGGCAGAATATAGCTAGGTGGGCCCCCGACTTCGGGATCAGGCAGGCTGAGGAAACCCGGTCCATGTGAATCAGCAGGACAGAGAATACTTCAAACTACATTCAACACTGAGGCACATGAGGCTGATACAAAAGTTGAAGGGCTAGCCTGGGTTACAGAACAAGAACCTATCTCCCAAAAGAGACTGGAAGAAAGGTGGGAGGTTGTGGAATCATTGCTTAAGCAGGGTAAATTCACTTGATACAAAGAATGTTCTGCATTAGACTATGAAAGCTGTCAGAGAGATGGTGTGTTATACAGCCTTCTTCGTAAGACAGTCTTACTGGGTACCTCTGGCTTCCTGGAACTGGCTATGTATGCAAGGCACACCTCAAACTTGGATCCATTGTGAGTGCTGGGATTAACTGTGGGCCAGCATGTCTGGCTGATGTTATTGTTCTCTTTTGGTTGTTAGAGACAAGGGATTCCCCTGTGGCCCAGACGATTATATCCTATAGACCAGCCTTCAGTCCGCTGTGATCTCCTGCTTCACCCTCCTAAAAGAAATGGGCAAATGAGCAGTTGTGCAGATCATCTGTGAACTATATATAATATGTAATAGATCTTTTATTTATTTTGAGAATCGCTTTATTGTTAGATTTTGAGACAAAGACCAGTCTGTAGCCCAGGCTTGTTTAGAACACAGTGTGTACTCCAGGCTAGCCTCCAATCTGAGGTGATCTTCCCAGCCTCACCCCTCCAAAATAAATAAGTAAATATAAAATTTGGGGGTTTGCTTGGGTTTTTGATTTTTTTTGAAACCATCTCATCACTTACCTAGATTGGTCTTGTATTCTCTGTGGACCTGAGTATGACCTTGAACTCCTGTGTGTTGGAATCCTAGGTGTGTTGCCACCACACCTGAGGCCTGTCTACTTAGAATAGCTTTTAGTGTTTAACCTGAGATTTAAGTGAAACAGTTGTTTTTGTATCGTGCCATGAAAGAACACTTGGATGCTACTTCAGTTTCTTGTAATTTGTGCTTTTGTGGTAAGTCACCAGCAGTTGTATTCGTTTTTTTTTTTTTTTTCCAAGACAGGTGACAACCCTGTCTGTCCTGTAACTCACTTTGTAGACCAAGCTGGCCTCGAAGTCAGAGAGATCCATCCTCCTGAATGCCACCCAACGTTCTTTTTAAAATATTTTTAAAGTTGCATTTACTTATTTGTATGTGGGCACACACATGTAACTGTGAGAGGACCACATCTGGGAATTATTTCTCCTTCATGTAGTCCCTGAATCAAATCCAGATTGTGAGGCTTGGCGGTAAGTGTTTATAGGCTGAACCATCTTGCCAGCATCAGCCTTAAATCACATTTGTGTGTGTGTGTTTGTGTTGTGTTTATTGTGTGGAACCTCACACAGTAGGACAACTTGCAAAAACCTGTGCTCTTCTTTCATGTGCATCCAGGGTGTGGAACTGGAAAGGCAGGCTTAGCAGCAAGAGCTTACCCACTGAGCCGGCATGTTTCTCCCTTGCTGCTCTGTCTTTATCATCAGTCCAATGACATTCCCACAACAAAGACCGCTTACTTCTTTTTCATAAGATTTATTTATTATGTATACAGTGTTCTGCCTGCATGACAAAAGAGGGCACCAGATCTCATTATAGATGGTTGTGAGCCACCATGTGGTTGCTGGGAATTAAACTCACAGCTTCTGGAAGAGCAGCCAGTGCTCTTAACTTCTGAGCCATCTCTCCAGCCTCCAGATTACTTTCAATATTATTTTAAAACTAGTTTGTGTCTCAGAGAACCTCTGAATGGATGGATCCCCGGCAGCAGACTTGGAGCACCACGGGTGTGACGTGTGCTGACAGTGTTTTCCTCCTAGCTAATCTGAGCACATAACTTCCTCAAGTTTTAAGTGGCTTCCAGATTTCTCACTCAGAAAAGCACTTTGTTAGAAAATATTGAATAAGATGCTTAACTGTCTTCAAGAAGTTTTTGGGAACTGGGGAAAGAGAACAAAAGACAGCTTTTAAAATGTTTATTATTACATCCACTTAAGGTAAGAGTTACAACTTAGAATCCCATAAAGAGAACTGTTAAAGGTGACATGGCCTCCACTATGGAATTGAACCTAGGGCCTCAATCCTCACCCAGGAGGCTCTTGTCACACAAAACTGTCCCTGAATCCACCATGCAGTCTATAGAATCTAAGAACTCAATGCCATCCTCTTGTCTCTGCCTCCTGATTGATTTGATTACCACGTCTGGCTTTATTTTTTTTTAATTTTTGCCATTTTTACTTATTACATATTTACAGAAGTAAAGCCTTGAACCACTGTAGCATATAATATACATCTCTTTTTGTTTTTCTTTTGTTTTTCAGTTTTAGAGACAGGGTTTCTTTGCAGTTTTGGAGCCTGCCCTCGAACTCGCTCTGTGGACCAGGATGGCCTTGAGAGCTCCACCTGTTTCTGCCTCCCAAGTGCTGGGATTAAAGGTGTTTGCACCACCCGGCTTCTCTTTGTTTTTCTTAAACTAAAAATGTTTTTGCCTGCCTTAGCCTTGTCTTCGGTGTTGTAACACTGTATCTTCTTTGGAGTGATCCTCTCCCACAAGGTTGGTCAGGACAATGCCCAGGACCATTTTGTGAGCTTACCTACTTTGTGAGCGAGTCTTTCCTTTCTGTTTCAGAATGGATTTCATCCTTCTTGGAAGTCCTTAGGGCTACCGCCACCTCGGTCTGATTTATTTCCTAGGCCCCATTTGGGGTGCAACGATCTTTTCCTTCTCCTGTTGAAGAGGATTTTCATAAAACAACTGAATCGCGCCTCGACCATCAGTGGCGAAAGTTCACACGTGTGTGCTTGTCTGGGCGCCAAGAGTAACTTTTGCAAACGCTGCCTCCGGGAAACTCCATGGTTCGCTGGTTGCCACTGCACCGTAAAGAAAACAACAAAACCAAAAAGCTAGCAGGAGTGAAAAAGGCCTCTTTGGAGCGGTGAGACATATTAAAGGTGAGCCGCATAGTAAACGAACTCGTGCAGAATTCCTTTACTGATCTCGTAGACGAAGGGCTGGGAAGAAGGGGGTGGTGCTCGGCAGAAGCCTGGCCCTTTAAGGAGGAGGGCCAGACACTAGACTCTGCACCTTTAAGAGTCTCTTTGTCTAGAAATCTTCTGTACCCTCTTGTGACTCAACCAAACTTTGCCGGCGATTCTCCCACGCCGCTCCGCGCCTGCCCTCTCACACCGACCGGCCGTCGGCCGCCTAGTCGTGGCTGACCCGAAACTTGGTGCCCCCGACGCGAACCCGCGGAGAGGGTGTAGAGGCCGGGGGTCGCGGCCAGGAGGCGCGCCGTTGGCGCAATGCGGGGCCCTGGGGGCGGGGCTATAGTAGGCGGACCAATGAGCGATAGGGGGTGTGGCCTGCTCGCTTGTCTCGCGCCCTGGTGACAGCTCGCGCGTGCTGATGATGGCGGTAAATGGGGGGGGGGGGGGGGGGGGGGGGGGGGGGGGCCGGCCCCGGGGCCGGGGGGGGGGGGGGGGTCCGCGGTGGCTGGGAACCCGCGCAGACATTCGGAGGCGGGGACACCCGGCCCCGGCATGCCGGCCCTCCCCTTTTAAAGGAAAGGAAAAAAAAAATCCCCTCTCATACCG